CTGTTCTTAATTAATTGTAATTTTACGATGACCTTCAGACCGCAGCTCTTTCGCCAGCATTGCCTCTTAATACCTCTCACACCACGGTTAATGGTATGGTTTACAACATGGAGTATACTAGGGCTTCGCAGCTGTCTCTCTCCCCCTCCTCTGTTCCGACCATGGACGAACTCGTCCGTCTGAACGGGGCCCGTAGCTATCCGTGGTACGGAAATTTGAGGGTAAGAATCCACCCATTTTTTCGCCATATAGCATTGTGATATATAACGACTTATGGTTGGTAGCTTAGCTGATTGGAGAATATAGAGTTTATTGATAACATGAAGGTAATTTATATTTTAGTTTTTATTGGTTCACTATATAGTACTGTGAATAGCTCAGATGTGTAGTAATTTCTGTGACCAGTCACCAGCAAATCACCCAGTTATTTCAATGCTAAATTCGCCTAGTTATTTCAATGCTAAATTCTCCTGTTTTGATTTGTACTAAGTGCCTCGGTGAATGTGTATGCTCTGACTTCAACGTAACTATTTCTGTAGCAGTTACAAGCGAATGCCTTAATTTAGCTATTTCAATGCTAAATTCTATGCTAATTCCTTTTAACAATGGGTGCCTCTGCGGATGTGTATGCTTTAACTTTTAACATAGCTATTTCTGTGACCAGTCACAAGCTAATCATTCAGCCTTTTCAATGCTAAATTTTATGCTAATTCCTTCGTCAAGGCTCTTTGTTCCTCTCACACAGCTTAAAAGCCGTGATCTGAACGTGGCTCTCTCACTCCAGCGCTGTCCTACCAGACAGTCTCGCTCCCTTCACCTGATGAAGGCCGCTTGTGTTGTGGCCGAAACGTCGTGAGAATATTATTGTGTTATTTTATTTTATCAATTTATTATTTTATTCTCATTCTACGTGACTTTACCGAAAGAACCAAAGAAGATGAATCATTGCAGTCACGAAAGCTTTAAATCGAAATTTTACATTGTTGTTGTTTGTGCTCTATATTTTATTGTAGAATCGACGATCCAAGCGTTACAACGCCACTGTCGTACGCGTACATTTATATATATTTTTTTAAATTAACATTATTGTTGTTGTAGAAACACATTGTGGTGCCGCCGCAGCGGAGCCGCTCCGTCGGGGCTGTACCCACCGCCGCGACACCGCCACCGGTGCCTCGGATTCCCCGCCACTCTCCCGAGGCCGGTGCTCTCTGAGACATCCGCTTGTGGTGCCGCCGCCGCTTGTGGTGCCGCTCCATCGGGGCCGCACCCACCACAGTGACGACGCTGCGCGCCCTCGCCGCCCCCCCCCCCCGTTGTATATATAGGTGTTATGAAAATTTATGAAAATAATGAAAATTAAATGAAATTTGAGATTTGCATAATTTATCCTAAATTATGTTAATCAGTGTAATTATGCGCATAAATTATGCTGATTCGAGAGATAATCGTATTAATTTATGCGAGTGGGCGTGGTTATGATAATGCAGGTCGTTAAGGATTATAAGGTCGAGCCTCGGTGACGAGGATTGTGTTATGAATTGGAATAACGCAATTAATCGTATGCAGTGACGCAGGCGTTGTGAGCGTGAATGAGAGAGAGTCGATTCGACTCTGCTCTTTAATTCCGTATTATCGATAAGGATACGATTACTCTCGATTGAACATTATGAATTATGTGTGTTATGGATTATGTGTGGTGATAGTGTGCTTATGATAGGTCCCCAGGATTCAGATCTCATACGCAGAACAATATTATGCAGAATTTCAGGAAGAATCACACACAACCTTTATGCTTTAATCAATTTTATTCTCTAGCTAACTTTAATTTTTGGATAATATGAAAATTCTCGACCTTGGAATTTCAACACAGCGTTAACCTGATACCATCAAGATTGCGTTGTTTCACCTCGATAGCGGCACCTGTGGTTAATTCCCGACGCGTAACACAATCAATCGGTTGTTGAGAGAGAGATTAAACATGCATACTATTCTATCAAAACCTTAACCTTATAATGTAAATTCGTATTTAAACATTGCCCACACAGTACCACATCCATTCATAGACCTTCAAGTCAATTCTTATCACGTTTTTAACAGTAGGGCGATTGGTTATTATGCAACTCAATGACAGCAGTATTTTTCGTTATGAATTGATTTTTAATGCACCACCTTGGAGTGGCAACCCTTCTTGATTATCCCGATATGCGTATCGTGTGTCTTCGTTATCACTGGTTCAATTCTTTGCGTAAAGCAGACGCTGAGGTTAGCATCTCGTGTGTCCAAAATGTGTTTCCTGTGTGTTGCGGTGCGGTGGGGGAGTGAGGGGAAGAGTGTGGGTGAGGGGTTTGGGCATACGAACGGCTGCCAGTTTCTGTCCACCGCTGGCTGGATGAGTCAGCACGACGCTCGCCGTCGTCGCGCCGATGGGTGTTGAGTGCGGGGCCGCTTCCCTCAGCCCTGGTGACGCGAAGTTGCGCGCTGTAGCACGCTGGTGGCACGCTGTTGGCACGCGCTGGTGCTGGTGCTGGTGGCACGCTGGTGGCGCGCTGTTGGCACGCGCTGGTGCTGATGCTGGTGCTGATGCTGGTGCTGATGGCACGCTGGTGGCGCGCGCTCCCTCTCCTTGAAGATGCGCGAACGCGCCCGTGCTGGTTCGCTGACAGCAGTTTCTCTCCACTGCTGGCTGAGCTGCTGCACGCTCTTGCTTGGCGTTGCTGGTCGCGCTCTTTCTCCTTGAAGATGCGCGAACACGCCCGTGCTGATTCGCTGACAGCAGTTTCCTCCACTGCTGTATGAGCTGCGCCGGTGCGCGCTCTTTCCGCTGCTGTAGTATCTGACGCTGCGCTCGCAGGCGACAGGTCAAGTTTTTCTTCTGCTGAGTGAGCCGAGTCGCACGCGCTCTCTTTGTTGAGGTTGTTGGCGGCTCTCTGACAGCAGGTTTCCTCCACTGCTGTATGAATCAAGTCGCACGCGCTTGGTCACTGGTTTGCTGAAGTTGTTGGCGGCTGCCCAAGCTTTTCCGCTGCTGGTTGAGCCACGTTGCACGTGCTTTCTTTGTGGAGATGTTCGAGCGCTCTCAGCGCTGATTCGCTGATACTTTGTTGGCGGCTGGCCAAGCTTTTTCTTCAGTTGAGTGAGTTGAGTCGCACGTGCTCTCTCTGTTGAAGTGCGCGAACGCGCCCGTGCTGGTTCGCTGACAGCAGGTTTCCTCCACTTCTGTATGGCTCACTTTTGTTGATACATCGCGACTCAGCGATCCTCGCTACTCAGCGAGGCTCGGAGCCAGCCGCTCCATGCGACTGCTCGTCCTGTGGACGTCTTGACTCGCTGATCTGTCTTGACTCTTGACTTAACTTCACTGACTTTTGAAAATGCGGCTGACCGTTATATTCAAAGACAATTCTCTCTGCGCAGTGGAAAAGGGGGGGGGGGGGGTCTGTGTGTGTGAGTTCGTGTGTGTGTGTACAGATGGCTCCTGCGATAACGATCTGTTTGCCCTGGTGTGAAATTCCTTTCTCGCGCTCTTCGGGAGAGACAAAGGTGGTCGGGAGTAACTATCTTTTCATACTTTCGACTTTATATTTCTCAAATACAATTTGGTCCCATGTTCGCCAAGACTCGTGTTTGTAACTACGTTCTCCCGACACCCCTCTCGGGTTACCGAGGTTCGCATTGATATGATGGAGTTATTAGAAAGAAAAATAATTTTCATCCTGAGTTTAAGAGGTCCGTTTCCAGATTGTTGGAATCCATATCCCTTGGTTCTGTAAGGTTCTATAATGGAATATCGTTTAAGGTTAACACGTTGTTATTATTAATAGTATATTGCAATTTTCTTTAAAACTTTGTTTGCCTGGTTGCCATGTGTGGGGTGGGGTGTGTCTCCTCATCAAACCCGGCTGGCTTTTCCAGATGGCCCCTTGTGATAAGGTGTAATTCCTGCTTCTCCGCGCTGTGAGAGAGACAAAGGTGGTCGGGGTTGCTTGGGATATTGTTTAAACTCTTTCGTAAGTTTGCCCGTTCGCCTCATTCCTTCTCGATAACCTTTGATGTGACTCGGTATTTTGTCTCCAAGCTTTGTTTTAACAGTAAAAGTATTAAAGGTGAAAATCATTTGATAGCGAATTAATTATTGGATAATAATTCACTGATGTATCTGGTGGCCTGGTCTTGATTGGAGTGAGCGCGAGGACCGCTAACTTTAGCTTATTCTTGTCATTGCATTTTAAATTTGAACCGTTGTTTTAATGACAAAGGATAAATATATATATGGTTTAACCCGTGGGCGTCCTCGTTTCTGGCTTGCGGAGGGCTTCCCTCTGCGTGACCTCCCTTAGGGCACATCAAACTCTTGTTCATCTGGAGATCTTCGCAGATAGCTGCTAACATCTTCGCCTCGAGAGTTTTATTATTTCTTTATTTTTTAATGGTCTGTTTATGATCGACATCTGGTTTTTCGTGTGCCTGGCTTACGGGTTTTATTGATTATTTTTTTTGTTTGTTAAAAAAAATATTATATATAACGCAAATATTGGAAATAGGAATAGGTTTTACCCTTTTAACTGGCACAAAAACTGACACCTTTATTCAAGGTATCATGTTTGCAATGACCACAACACAAGCAGTCAAAATGCAAACAAAAAAGACAACTCTGATAATAATATGCACTGTCCTTGAATTTGATTGGTCCACACCCGAGACAGCTTTTCTTAGTGTCTCGGGTGTGGACCAATCAAATTCAAGGACAGTGCATATTATTATCAGAGTTGTCTTTTTTGTTTGCATTTTGACTGCTTGTGTTGTGGTCATTGCAAACATGATGCCTTGAATAAAGGTGTCAGTTTTTTTGTGCCAGTTAAAAGGGTAAAACCTATTCCTATATCTTGTTTCTGGCAAAGGAGGTCTCATAATGTTAAAAACGCAAATATTGTTAATATCAATTTTTGAAAAGGCTCATATACAACACCCCCCCCCCCCCCCACATGAATGCACGCACACCCCACGTAGAACCGGGAGGGAAGGTCACCTGGCCGACAGGTTTTTATCCAGAAGCCCCTAATGGGATCAAGCTTCATGGTTTCCTGCGGCTGGGAAATTGGGCGATCTACCCCCGAGGTTGACATACACCGCGGCACCGTGACCTGACATTAAAGTTACGTGGTCACAGCGGAGGCTGTTGAGCCACCGCGAGTGAAAACCGCACACGCACAAACACGAGTCAGTGGGCCGATAGCGGGAAGAACGGAGAGCGGACGTCCGAGAAACCACAACGGTGACGTCACCAGAGCATGATCAAAGTACCGGAGAAGGCGGGAAAATCCGGGCCTCCGATTGGGCAGGAGGCCAAGGGGCGTACGGAAATAAATGCCTGCTGTTATAGATAGCATTAGGAACTGAATGCCTTTTGTTATAGGTGAGATTACGGATCCAAATAACAACGGGACAGGAACATTCCGACATCTGAATAGACAGGGTGGCATGAGTGCGGAAGCAACTGAATGACTTTTGTTATAGATGAGATTACGGATCCCAAATGTCAAAGGGACAGAAATATCTCAACCTCCGATTGGTCAAAAGGGCACAGGCGAGCAAGTGCATGATTGAGACGGTAAAGACTGAGTTCTCCCAGTCATCGAAGTCCACAGAGAATCGGAGCCGGCCGTTCGGATCGTCCATGTGACAAGTTTCAGCGCAGCCAGGCACGACCTTCTACGGAGACGACCCACAGCATCGCCCTTCTACAACTTCCAGCGCATCAGAGTGGAAGTAAGCGTGAGTAAGAGAGAGAGGTGAGTGTGGGGCTATTTAATCGAGGGTAGAAAGTGGAGCGATAGGCAGGATAAATTGAGCCTAGGATTCCCGAAGGATAAGCTAGGAGGGCCTGCTGACTCACACAGACACACACAGTTATGCGGGATATTCGGGGGGAATAAAACCGCTAATAGAGGATAAAACTGTGTCATGGTCGCTGTGAGTATGAAGAGGGAGGCGGAGTGTTTTGTGCTCACGCGCATACGCGGCTGTTTGCGGCGAATAAGGGAGTGTAGCGTCTGGTGATCGCGTGCACGCACGGTTGTTTACAACGAGGCGGAGTACTTAGTGTGCGCATGCCTACGCGGCTGTTTACGGGAGTGCTTGGCGTTTGCGTATCCGTGCGACTGTTTACGGGGAGGGTCTTGCGGTCGCGTGCACGCGCGGTTGTTTGTAGCGAAGCAGAGAGCTAAGCGCCTGGTGTGCGCGTATATGCACGGCTGTTTAAACGGCCCTTTAAATTGGAGCGGAGTGGCTCCCTCCAATCAGCGGCGCGCGCACGGCAAACGCCCCTGCCCTCTCACCCCCGACCCCAACTCTCTCGAGTGTGATTGGTGTACGGGGCTGGGCAGGTAGCGGCGTCGGGTTTGCTATTGCCTGGGTGCGTAGAGCGTGTGTGTGAGGGAATCACGCATCGGCGCACCGTACCCATTTGTTTGCGTACGGGAGTCACGCATCGGTATGCCGTGCCCATTTGTTCACGCGCGGGACGGAGTCCTGCTTCACGAACACGCTCATCGCAGCACGCCGCCATTGAACCCGCATAGCGCGCCGCAAGCGTAAAGCGTCCAAGCCCACTAATTGAGCCATGCCTACGCGGTTGACAACACAGTCAGGGGTACAGGGGGGCGAGGAGTCGGGGGTCGGTAACCCGAACCCTACAGAACTGCCAGGGGGTAGGAGTATGAATGTAATGGGGGAGTCGGGGGACAGCGGCCCCGACAATTCGGTGATGGCGGGGGACGGTAGCCCCCACAACATCCCAGTTCACCAATGCTAATCACTGATACCCCTACACTACAGCTACACTCCTCTGACAGGGTGAATATATCCACTTTGGCTTCAAACACAGAGCAGTACTTATTTTACCAACCCCTTAGAAAAGTTGCGAGGATTGTTTACGCTCAGCCCCCCATTGTGATGGAAAGCCACACAGCCCCTCGCCACCGACAGCCACCAGCCAGTCACAGGCGTGGCACTGTGCGTGATGGTGATGAGGCTGACGAGCACCGTGCGTCGTGGTGTCTGCCCTCTATGCTGTTCACGTTCACCGCTCTCAGGACGCACCACTCAGATCCACAATCCTCACGGAGTCACCAAATTTACCCCACCCAACCAAAAGCCCAGGATGTAGGGGCTGAGCAAAGGTTTGGTGAAACGAGTGCAACGGCGCCATGGAGTCTGCGCTGTAAAACGACAGCAGCCCCGCGTCCCAGTCCAGATGAACCCCGACTCTCCGCGGAGGCTGCCGCACCGACAGTGACGTCACTACCCCGCCATGATGCACTGAGAAGCTGTCGCCAAGTTTCTGCAGACACCAGGAGACGTCATTCCCTCCCAGGAGGCACTCATCACCACTCCCTCTCCGTGGGATCGTGCCGTACGCGACTCCAACCCGACACAACTCCACGCTCCCCACGTCCACCTCCCAGTAGTGCTGACCCGACGAGAAGCTCTCAGAGCACAGGGCTTGTCCCCAGACATCAAAGCGGTGTGGGTGATGGGGGCGACTCTGGGGGACACCGCTCACCATCACCGTCCTGAGATCCGAGGAAATCTGGAGGCGGTTGTGGGCTGAGTTTGTGTCCAGAGTCGGTGAGCGTCCACCTGTGGTGAGGACAGCGACGACGCTCGCACAGCGGTCACGGCCACGTGGGCGCAGTAGCGGCACGAGCAGTGCAGGTGGCGTGTACACACACACAGACACGTGGCGTGTACACACACACAGACACGTGGTGTGTACACACACACAGACACGTGGTGTGTACACACACACAGACACGTGGCGTGTACACACACACAGACACGTGGTGTGTACACACACACAGACACGTGGTGTGTACACACACACAGACACGTGGTGTGTACACACACACAGACACGTGGTGTGTACACACACACACAGACACGTGGTGTGTACACACACACAGACACGTGGCGTGTACACACACACAGACACGTGGCGTGTACACACACACACAGACACGTGGTGTGTACACACACACAGACACGTGGTGTGTACACACACACAGACACGTGGCGTGTACACACACACAGACACGTGGCGTGTACACACACACAGACACGTGGTGTGTACACACGTAGCGTGTACACACACACAGACACGTAGCGTGTACACACACACAGACACGTGGCGTGTACACACACACAGACACGTGGTGTGTACACACACACAGACACGTGGTGTGTACACACACACAGACACGTGGTGTGTACACACACACAGACACGTGGTGTGTACACACACAGACACGTGGCGTGTACACACACACAGGCACGTGGCGTGTACACACACACAGACACGTGGCGTGTACACACACACAGACACGTGGCGTGTACACACACACACAGGCACGTGGCGTGTACACACACACAGACACGTGGTGTGTAAACACACACACAGGCACGTGGCGTGTACACACACACAGACACGTGGTGTGTAAACACACACACAGACACGTGGTGTGTACACACACACAGACACGTGGCGTGTACACACACACACAGACACGTGGCGTGTACACACACACAGACACGTGGTGTGTACACACACACAGACACGTGGAGTGTACACACACACAGACACGTGGTGTGTACACACACACAGACACGTGGAGTGTACACACACACAGCAGACACGTGGCGTGTACACACACACAGACACGTGGCGTGTACACACACACAGCAGACACGTGGCGTGTACACACACACAGATACGTGGTGTGTACACACACACAGTGCAGGTGGCGTGTACACACACACAGACACGTGGCGTGTACACACACACAGACACGTGGTGTGTACACACACACAGACACGTGGTGTGTACACACACACAGACACGTGGCGTGTACACACACACAGACACGTGGCGTGTACACACACACAGACACGTGGCGTGTACACACACACAGACACGTGGCGTGTACACACACACAGACACGTGGCGTGTACACACACACAGACACGTGGCGTGTACACACACACAGACACGTGGCGTGTACACACACACAGACACGTGGCGTGTACACACACACACAGACACGTGGTGTGTACACACACACAGACACGTGGCGTGTACACACACACAGACACGTGGCGTGTACACACACAGACACGTGGTGTGTACACACACACAGACACGTGGCGTGTACACACACACAGACAAGTGGCGTGCACACACACACAGACAAGTGGCGTGCACACACACACAGACACGTGGTGTGTACACACACACACAGACACGTGGTGTGTACACACACACACACAGACACGTGGCGTGTACACACACACAGACACGTGGTGTGTACACACACAGACACGTGGTGTGTACACACACACAGACACGTGGTGTGTACACACACACACACAGACACGTGGCGTGTACACACACACACACAGACACGTGGTGTGTACACACACACAGACACGTGGTGTGTACACACGCACAGACACGTGGTGTGTACACACACACACACAGATACGTGGCGTGTACACACACACAGACACGTGGTGTGTACACACACACACACAGACACGTGGCGTGTACACACACACAGACACGTGGCGTGTACACACAGACACGTGGCATGTACACACACACACGCGCTCGTGTTGTGTTGTCTGTTGTGTTGTTGTGGTAATGGGATACATTAGCGCTTGTATCACAAATGCATACAGTACTGGTATTCGTCAGCATCTTTTGACACGTACTAATATTCGTTAGTATTTGTGTACACATACTAATACTAGTGCACACATGCTGATATTAATTAGTATTAGTGTAGGCATGCTATTCAAAAGTATTTGCGCATACCAATATTCATTAGTATTTGTGTACACATATTTATATTCGTTAGTATATGTCTACACATACAAATATTCGTCAGTATATGTCTACACATACAAATATTCATTAGTGTTTGTGTACGCATACTAATACTCATTCGTGAATAATAATGCATTACTATACTATTTGGTTCTTTCGGTAAAGTCACGTAGGTAAAAAAAATCACGACGTTATGATCGCAACACAAGCAATCGTCCTCAGGTGAAAAAATAATATAGCAGTACAACTGCTGAACCAGAAAGAATATAGCGGGAGAGCTGCTGCAACAAGAGGTTATTTAGGTTTGAGGTGGGTGCAACCCAATGGTTAGTAGGCAGGGTCAGAGAGGGAAAGGAGTCCCGTCGCCGCACGCATGCACAGCGGCTGTGTTAATGGGAGAGATTAGCATGTCAATGTAAACAAGTTTAATGGGGCATTAATGGGAGAGATTAGCATGTCAATGTAAACGAGTTGAATGGGAGAGATTAGCATGTCAATGTAAACGAGTTTAACGGGTGAGATTAGCATGTCAATGTAAACGAGTTTAATGTGGCGTTAATGGGAGAGATTAGCATGTCAAAATTAACGAGTTTAATGGGAGAGATTAGCATGTCAATGTAAACGAGTTTAATGGGGCGTTAATGGGAGAGATTAGCATGTCAATGTAAACGAGTTTAATGGGGCATTAATGGGAAGATTAGCACGTCAATGTAAACGAGTTTAATGGGGCGTTAATGGGAGAGATTAGCATGTCAATGTAAACAAGTTTAATGGGGCGTTAATGGGAGAGTATAGCATGTCAATGTAAACGAGTTTAATGGGACGATAGCATGTCTGTGTCAGAGGACCGGGCATAACGCCAATCCTGTGTGGAACACAAGCTGCGGCGTTGGCTGCTGCACTGCGAGAGGCCAGCGTGTCAACGCAAGAGAACCACCGTAACGGTGGCCGTGCCAGTGAGACATATCGTACAGCCTATTAAACAGCGAGAGCTACCGCTACATCGAGGCAAAGAACCAAAGAGTACGAATTCCTGCAGTCACGAAAGCTTCAAATAAAAATTCATTACTAATTAATGAATAATAAATCATTTATACTTATTGCACTGCACTAACATGACCATGGGTGTGTGTGCAGTCGCAGTGAACAGTGGTGACGATGCCAGCACTACGATGTTAACGCCACTCTCACAGCGTCTCTCTACAAACACGACGCCTGTACAATAGCCACCAGAGCCTCGCACACTCACATCCACGCAGAGACACTGTGTCACTCCGCTGCTGGATGTGCGCCTCCCCGCACCGTGCGCGTCCTGGGGGGGGGGAGTTTATTTGACCATACTTCACCGCTTTCGTCGGTGCGCGTTTGCGATGGTGGGGATCGTGAACGTAGAAGCGTAGAGGTGCAGTACAACAATGGTTCACGCTGCACTGCCCTCTGTTGGTGTGATGTGTATACATTTGGCACTAGGGAGACAAAGGTGGCCGGGCGTGGTGCTGGCCACACACCCCCTCGTGTGTCGTGCGGCCTTCATAGGTGCTGCTCGCTAACAGCACGTGTCCCAGTACCCAGCAGTAGGGTTTAGTAGAATATTAAAACTGTTAAACTAATTTCATTTCACGAGGTAGAGCCCACTGATCCATGTCGCTCTCTTTCAGAGTCTGCCTCTCTCTCCCTGTGGTCACGTCGATTTTTTTCTGGTTCATCGCGTTTTTCCACCCACACAAATAAATGTGCATTAAGACGATTTGGCTGCTGCTATAAATATCCACGTGATAAGCCACGCCGTTGATCTATCATTTGTGATTGTCGGGTCGCTTATTGAAAAGAGCGACATGGTTCAGCGGGTTCCTTACCTGGTAAAATTAACTGAAATTTGATGAAGATGGGGAGCACAGAAGTGCAGTGCAACACAGCAAAACATGCGGGTGCAAGACTGAGGAACTTACAGACGAGAGGCAGGAGTCTGCGCATAACCCTTTCAAGGCAACGGATCGTGGTGACGTCCAGTGAAGTGGGAGGTGGGGGTGCAGATTCCTTTGGGATCTCTCTTCTGGGACAACCACCAACAGCACCACACACAGTCTCGTTTCACCACAGCATCAGAACAAATGGGTTCCATCGCACATGCCGTGTTTCATACACAGCCTGCGTCTCACATATAGTGCATGTCTCACAGACAACCAGTGTGTCTAAGACACACACATACACACCATGTTTCTAACACACATACACAGCCCATGTGTCTAACAGACAAACATAGGCAGCAACCCGTGTCTAACAAAGACATATACAGCCCATGTGTCTAACACACACACATACACAGCCTGTGTCTAATACACACAGCCCCGTGTTGAGTGTTCAACCGTGAGACGTTAAGGATCTGTACCTTCGTGTCACCTCCAAGTGCCCCTGTGGAAGAGAGAGAGAGAGAGCATGAATGACGTCTCTAGCCTTGGACCACGAGTCCCCCTGCCACTGCCCGCTCTGTTGTTCTGGACACCCAAACGGCGCCTCCACAGAGGCGCTCCCCACCTGCAGGAAGGCGAGCGAGTTCATCTCGTGCTGCAGAGCGCGCAGGTGAGCGGCCGCCGCTTTGAGCTCGCCAATCTCCCGCTTGTGACGAGCGATGTCCTCCTCGATCCGGGACAGCAGCTCGCGCTCCTTCACGGCTACGCGACATAGAGCCTCCCTCTCGTCCTCGTCCAGAGCCTTCCTTAGGTGGGCGAACTTGCCCGTGATGCGATCCCTGATCTCGGCCACTGATTCCTGCGGAGACACGGGGACCGCGGTTGGCTCCCTGAGCCACTCCGTGTGTGAGTGGGGGCGCCGCAGTGGCTTAGAGATATTGACTCCCCCGCCTGGTATACAGCAGGTCGGGGTTCGATCCTGACCCCGACGCCTGCTTCATATTTGGAGTTATTGTGTTCGCTCTGTGGTTGTGTGGATTTTTCTTGCCGTCCCCTCGTTTTTCACTCCATATTTAGACTCAATGTCGCGCATTCGGAGTATTTTGCAGCTATCAATTTCAACATTACAATCATACATTTTGTTGAGCTATCATTATGTAATAGCCAGGTCGCTTCTGAAAAATAACTACATAGCTCAATGGAACCGTTCCTGGTAAAATAGAAAATAGTTTAGTCTATGGGTCTCTATGTGTCTCTCGGGGTCTCTGTATCTCAATGAGTCTCTATGGGGTTCTAGGTATCTCGATGTGTCTGGTATGTATATGGGTGTCTATGTATCGATATGTGTCCCTACGTATATTTTTCTGCTATAAATTTCCAAGTGAAAATGATGATATCAGCCACTTGGTTAATCTACCATTTGTGCTAGCTAAATCGCATCCAATTAAGAGCTTACCAGCTCAGTGGGCATTACCTGGTATAATAAAAAATATATAATACAGTGTTTGTGTCTTTATCTATTTCTGTGTCCCTATATATATGGGTCTCCATCGGTCTCTAAGGGTCTCTCTGTATCAATATGGGTCTCTTTGTATCTCTCTGTGTCCCTATGTATCTCTATAGGTTTCTATGTTTCCATATTTATCTTAAGGCGTTTAGATTATTTGGCTGCTGCTATACATTTCCACGTGATGATGATGATGATGAAGATGTCAGCCATTTGGTTGATCTATCATTTGTGATAGCCAGGTCGCTTTCAGTGACGAGGCGCCCATGGGACTGAGTCGATCCATGCCAAGGGGGCAAGAGGGGTGCCGCTCTCTTCTTGTTTCTCCCCTAGAGGGCGCTGGGGTCGTGGTTGTTGAGACTCGGGCACGCGGAGTCCAATGGGGGCCCTCTCGTGGGTACGACGGGATGTGGCGAGTTGTTAACTACCTCGCCTGGTGTACAGGGGGTCGTGGATTCGATCACGACCCTGATTCCTGCTGTAAATTTGGAGTCTGCATCTCTCTCCCTATGGTCCCATGGATTTTTCTCTGAGTCCTCCGGGTTTTCCCACCACATTTAGAATTGCCGTAATCCAGGTCGGGCTTTCCGACGCGTCCAACTCGGGTTTAGAGTCCAAGGCATTCGTTATCTGCTGTGAACAACCTGCAGAGCCCAAAAGCGTCTCTTGGTTCAAGCAAGAGTTTAGAGTGCAGTATTTAGAATATTTGGCTGCTATCAATTTACATCTGATAAGCCATTTGATTGAGCTATGATTTGTGATATTCAGGTTCCTTCTGTAAAAGAGCTGCATGGTTCAGTGGGGCCTTACCTTGTGAAATAAAAATAGTTGTAGTTTAAATAAACTCCGGTGACGCAATTATGGATGGTGTGAGGTGCAGCTGTGCGGTTTTCGTGCCTCTGCGTCTGTGACGGTGCGACCTCCCGTGCAGCGCTACAGCTGCACCACAGCTCCACCCGGAAAATCCGTGGCACTCTCTACATTTATTTTTGCTACAGGAGTGGAAGACGCAATGCCGAGTAACCCGACGTCGTGGCAGACTCGCCAATGCGTTTATCATGAACGTGCAACCCCCTTGTAGTTAATGTTGAGTTCGAAAGTAAATTATATAGTTAGGAGGCATCAAAGTTACGACGCTGCACAAAGTTCGCTTGAATAAATGTTGACCTTCACCACTTCTGTGCTGGGCGGAGGTCATAGGGGCCAAAGAGCTAGACCCGAACACGGTACCTGCGCCTCCTTGCGAGCGGCCTCCATCCGCTTCACGGACTCCTCCGCCTTCTTCCTCTTCTCCTCCACCGTTCGCATCTCCTTCCCTGCGCGCGTCTGTAGTGAGAGACGAGACATCACCAGGGGGAGACTCCAGCCCCCTGAGCCACCCCTCACACAACCCTTCCATCCGCAACGACCCCTCCACAGTGAAAGCCCTCATCTCCATGCTGCCTCTGTACGGCGACTGAGACGGTGGGCACGGGGAGTGGGCAAGCTGATGCTTCGCTGTAACAGCAGCCAGCGGGAGCCGTGCTGGCTTGGTGTCCCTACCGACTCGGACCTATGGGCCCATGTGACCACAGCTGTCTAGTTTGGAAGATAAATCTACTAGAATTGTTTCTCAGGTGGCTGTGATATCAGTCTCAAAGTTCTGTCCACTTAATTACTTCATACGGCAATTATGTTTAATGAAACCCTAGGATTCAATACATTCTGAGGCGCTTTCCTGAAATGCAAACCAGGAGATTAGCTGCACAGGCAGAGTGAGTTTTAAAAGGGAGAGCATGAACACACGACAGTTTTTTTTTTTATCAGATGTGTAGCTGAGTGACAGAATTGGTCAGATCGTGTTACGGTTTCTCACTCTGAGGGACTCACCTTCCTTGCCTCGTGCTCGTCCTTCACCGTTAGGATCTTGTGTCCTGTGTGTTCATCTGCGATAATGCAGGTAGAGCAGACCAGGCTGTTGTCAATTGTGCAGTAGAATTCCAGCTCCCTTTTGTGATTAGGGCATCTTCTCTCATCCAATATCGCATTGGGATCCACCACAGCGTGGTCTCTCAACCTGGGATTCTTCAGGTGAGGCCTAAAGTGAGAAAAACAGTAGGACATCTCGCATCTCAGGCAGGTCTTCACTGCAGGAGTGTGGCCATCACCGCAGTTGTCACAAAAGACGGCCGTGGCCATCCCAAATCTAACTCTGAGCTGCTCCGCCAGGTTGGCCAGGGCCACGTTTCTCCTCAGCTGGGGTCGCACAGGGAAGGTCGCTCGGCACTGCGGGCAGCTGAAGCTGCTCCCCGTCTCCCAGGCGGCCTCCAGGCACCGCAGGCAGAACGAGTGGCCGCAGCTCAGCGTGGAGGGGCAGACGAACGTGTCCAGACAGATGGAGCAGCGCAGCTCACTATCCACACTCTCACTGGGAGTCGCGGTCGCCATGACTCATGGGCTTCGCTGGGATCGCTCGCTGTGTGACTCAGAGAGACGCTGGACCAGGACCTCTCTCTTATAGCGACAGTGAAAAAGGAAGTAAAATACTTAAAATATTTGCATTGTCGTCACAGACATCATGAGTCGCTGGCTGGCATGTGAACCCATGTTCTTGGTGCGCAAACAGCAGCTTCAGGGCGAACACGGCAACTGTACAAACCTTGGCATTAAAAAAAATAATTTTGTTAATGTAAATCGGCCAGGCTCAGCTGCGTTTGCTCATCTCATTCGTGGGTCGAGTGTGAATAGCAATTTGGTGCAAGATGTTATCTCTCTCGCCCGGTATACAGGAGGTCGTGGGTTTGATCCTGACCTGATGCCTGCTTCATATTTAAAATTAGCATTTCTCTCTCTCCGTGGTCGCGTGAATTTTTCTAGGAGTTCTCCAGGTTTTCCCCTCCACATTTACAATTTACATCACGCGTTCAGAGTCGTTGCATGCAATACATTTCCACATGATAAGCCATCTTTTGTGGCCAGGTCGTTTCTGAAAAATAGCTACGCAGCTCAGTGAGCCTTACCTGCTAAAATTAAAATAAATAGTTGGCACAGTTGTAGATATCTCATGATGTCCTGTAACTCCATCTCCGTGTAATTACCACAACGTGACAAGTTTCATGAATGTCATCGTGGAATCAGAATACATTTTTGCGTGTAGCCTCCCCGTGACCCATCCTGGAATCTTTACTCATTTGCTAGCAGTGTGAGTCTATCACCAACTCTACCTGCCTCCATCACCAACTGCTGGCGATGTCACCGTCTCTCACTCTCACCTTGTCCGAGACTGCAGATCCCCGTCCCAATCATTCACAGCCGCACCCACCGCTTACTTCAGCTGCGTTGTTGTTTCACATTCACACGCACGGCTACTCAACACGCATGCACAATCAGCAACAAAGATGCCCATCGGCGTTCATCCTTATTGTTAAAAAGAGAATACGAATAAAACTAAACTATTTTTATTTCACCAGGTGTACTGCCCCACTGAACTTATTCGCTTATTTTTCCAAAACGGCCTGCCCATCACAAATTATAGCTCAACAAAGTGGCTCATCATGTTGGAAATTCATAGCAGCCAAATACTCTTAAAACTGCACTCTAAGCGCTGCTTGAACCCGGAGACGCTCTCTTGGGCTCTGCGGGTTGTTCACAGCAGATAACGAATGCATTGGACTCGACACCCCAGTCGGACTCGTGGGAAAACCCGACCTGGATTAGACTGAACACGGCCTGGACTCGTCCACTTTACTTACTAACAGAAAAAACAAAACCGTGGCACTGCGTTTGAAAGATTCCTTCTACAAGGTCACCAACGCGAGCAAGGAGGCTTCCCACGATGTCCACGGCTCATTCCTTGGTGCAGTAGCAGCGACGGTTTAGTGCTCAGTGAGGCGCAGTGGCTCCAGGCCAGGCAGGCAGCGCGATCGGTCGCGGGTTTTGTAGCCAACAAATCCTCACAGCGTCCCGACAGAGTTGGTGACAGCTCAGCACCCCTTGGGTGCCACGCAGCCCACACGCGGCTACGCATCAAGTTACACTCACACACACTCACTTACAACAACAACCGCCATTCGCCACTAAGTGGCGGTGACGTCACCACGACGCTTGTGCCAGGCCATGTGAACCTTGAGGCCACGTGAAGTGTCGAACGCCCGCTGGCAGGAGGTCACGGGACAGATCCAGGTGCCACGGGTCGACTGACTGAGATGACCGAGATGACTAGCTGATGCACCACCTGCGCCCCCTACTGTGCCAACTTGCTGTGCTTTAGCCACCTGGGGCTCCGCTCGTTGTTGTGAGAGTCGCTCCTCCGCCTTCCGTTGTTGTTGGAGGGCGACTGTCTCCAGCTGCCCAGTAGCATCCTTCACGAGCCTCCTCCACTGAGGCCGATCTTGACACCACTAGTATCAGTCATCAGCAAGTCCACTCAGCTCCACGTCCTCCGGTACCACATCACTCCATCTCTTCTCTATCCCATGCCGCGTCCGTTTCGTCCCCTCTATCCGGCCGAACATAAGCTGTTTAGGCATGCGGTGGCTGGGAATGCGGGCTACATGACCCAGCCAACGCAGCCTCGCCTGCCAGAGGAGCTCACTGATGGGACTTTGCCCAGATCTTTCAAGGATTTGTGAGCTCCTCACACAATCCAGCCTGGTTCAACCCAGGATGGATCGTAGGCACGCCAGCATTATTGTTTCTAACCAGCGAAGATGCTCCATTAGGGGGGTCCACGTTTCGCAAGCGTAGAGAAGGGAGGGAATGACTGTGGCCAAGAAGACCTGAAGCTTCGTGCGGAGCGACAAACCAGGTAGCTTCCACACAGCGTTACGCAACCGATGAAAAGATATTGCTGCTCAACTGATTTGGAGTGAGACCTCTGCTGTTAAACCGAAGCCGGTCATAAGCACACTGCCCAAGTATGGGAAACTCTCTCTCCACAACTGCCCCAACACCGATTGGGAGTTGTGGAGTGTCCGATGGTACAAAATACTCAGGCAGGTGCTTAGTTTTGGTGGGGCTGATGGTAAGGCCCCACCTCTTAGTGGCATGCTCCAGTTTCAGCAGCAGCGTATGCAAATCCTACTCTGAATGAGCAGCAATTACCAAATCATCGGCATAATAACGTGGTTGACCAATAGGGAGCCATCCCTTGACCACACCCGGGCATCGATAAGCCTCCAATTATATCTGTACCAAATGGAAATTCCCCCGGTACAGCTATTGAAGGCTTTACAAATTACGTGGTCAAAATAGATGTTAAATCATGTGGGAGCCAGAGGACATCCCTGTCGCACCCCAGGTGTACAGGGAATGGCTCTGACTCCCGGCCACGTAGTTTTACCCGGGCCCGCTCACCATCATGAAGGTCCTCAATGATCGTGAGCAGAGGGTCAGGGACTCCGAAAGCACGAAGAACAACCCAGAGCTCAGGCCTACTGATAGTATCAAAGGCACTCACACACTCACATATTCACTCACACACTCACTCACACTTACTCACATACCCACTCACACACTCACTTACACACTCACACACTTACTGACACACTCACACACTCACACACGGGCCTACGGTCTGTCTCTCTCTTTCTCACTTACCACTTGTATAAAGCCACGTCCCGTCTGTATACTCCCATGCATGAATCTGTGTCTCTTGTTTGTGTGTCTCTATTAAAAGTCCTTTGTGTCCCGTCTGTGTTGTATATGTGCCTTTTCCAAAAATATATATTAAGAGTAATATTGCCTATTTTTAACGTAACAGGTTTTTTTTCTCTACATCTGTCTGGATTCAGAGCGTTATATTTGTAGTGCCTTGGATTCACTCGGACGACAATTGCCTTTCTTCCACCGTCACATTTATTTCCATCGTTCCGCACATACTATAATTTCTCCTCTCCGCGCTCCGCCAACTCGAACACTCGAATTCCCCTCAGCACCGTCCGCTCATACTCCTTGTCTCCACACACAGTCTCTTCTTCTCTCACCGCACACACAGTGTTCCTATCTCTATCTCCTCACACACAGTGATTCGTCTATCTCTTCACACACAGTGGCTCTGTCTATCTCTTCACACACAGTGACCTGTCTATCTCTTCACACACAGTGACTCTGTCTATCTATTCACACACAGTGACCTATCTCTTCACACACAGTGACTTGTCTATCGCTAACTCTCCCTGTACCTACCTATACCGTAATCTCCACTCTGCTAACGCTAACTCTCGCTATCGCTATTTATTGTCCTCTTGGTTCGGCTCTCAATCTATTTCCCACTAACACTTGCTGGGCTTCCACTCTTCGCATCTTTCTCTACCCGCTGCTGTCTCCACTTCTCGCCAACTCTCCCTCGTCCAAATCACCTAGCGTTTTTATCCCCTTTCCAATCAGCCTTAATTATTTGCCACGTGCCTCGCTGGCATTATCCCGCCAGCTCCGCACCTGTCCAACGGCCCAGACTCCGTGACGCCACCACTTAACGCTAACAGCCTTTCAACCAATTACAACCAATTATTTTGGCTTGTTTACGCCACCCGTGACTTCATCACCTGATCGAACTTACATGACCCACACTGTTTGTATGTACTATATATGGCCAACTTACCCATGTGTATTGTCTACTCCACTACATCACCCCCCCCCCCCCCCCCCCCGTGATGAAAGAACCTAGCCGTCCCCGGCTACGCTATACTCGAATTGGAGTAGTGGAGTGAAGCGGACGGAACAACGATAACATATATACAGAACGCACTCGCAACACATAAGCATTTTGTACAACCACCCGACACGCACCACACAACCACACTCACACAACACCTTTATACAGAGTCCCCAAACCCCCGAAAGTCAACGTAGTGTACTTCTCCTGGAACGGGTTCCCGCTGCCGGCCCATCTCCCCTGCACGGGACACCCTGCGGTAAGGGAGGGCCTCGCTCGTCTCGCCAAAGAGGGGCACTCCTGGGCTCCACCCTGCGCCCATCCCTGTCCCAGCGACACTCTGCTGGCGGGACTGTCCGTCGTTCCCGGTCGGGATGGACATTGGTCCGGATCTGTGGCCGTTCAGTCGGCGTCCGGTCGGCAACTCTGCCCAAAAGGGGCGATCCTGCAGGCACACGGGGGGGCAGATCTCTGGGACACGCGCACTTGTGACCTCCCCACAGGTTCGTCGGACACATCCAATACAGGCCGCTCTCGGATGGGGGATGACGCATCGTATGGTAACACAAATTTCTTCAGGCGCGACGGGTGAACAAACCATGTCTGACGACCGAATTTTATTCGCACACTCTGATCCCGTAAAACCTCCACAATATGAACGGGCCCCTGCCAGGGGCTATGAAACTTTGGGGACGTTTCCACCGGCACCATGGGGCAGTGCAACCAGGCTTTATCTCCAACACTCCATGGCTCTCGTGGCCGCTGCCCGCCATACAATCTTTCGTTAGCGGCTTGTCGCCGTGCCGTATTTTTCAATGCAGCCTCCCGGGCTTCCCTCAAATGGTCTAAAGCCACCTGCATCGGAGCAGGCACCGTCGTAGCTTTCTCTCGCTTTCGAATTCCCAATTTAACAATAGCCGGCGCTTCTGGTTCCCGTCCATACATTAGACAAAATGGTGAGTACCCCGTTGAGGCATGCGGGGACAATCTATACGCGGCCAGCGTCGCTGCAACATGCAGGTCCCAATCATCTTGAGCGGTGTTTACTTTGTGACAAAGCATAGACGTCAGCGTCCTATGCAGCCGCTCGACCATCCCGTCAGTCTGCGGGTGGTACGGGGACGTCCGGATCGTTTTGGTCCCCAGCGAGTCACACACGTCTTTAATCAATTTCGATGAAAAATTTCTGCCGTGGTCAGTAAGAAATTGTTCCGGGGCCC